CCCCCCCCTTATTTTCGCAGTTTTGTGGCTTCCTAATGTTGGCCATGTGAACCCAGCAAGTGGCGTTATGGTGCCTCTTCGCCGTTCGTTTCGACGTGTCACCTAATACGTGGCACGGCGACATATTGCTGCGGATTAATGGTGCATAAGATTAGCAAGATCCCTGTTTAAAGATAAGATAAACCGCTGCAGAGCCCCAAACTTGCCTTCTCTTATGCATCGAACGGAAAAATCGAAGAACTGTTGAACACATCGACAAATGGCTTTCGAACTTGCGAAACAACGAGCCGTGACTAAAACGTCTGCCGTACAGCAGCGAGAGAAGGATATATGAAACGATCATTCCGTTAGTAAGGCGACAACAACCTCCCCAGAGTGTCTGCGAAAGTTGTTTCGGTTTTACAATAAAGCAAACGTCACCACCACTTTGTTGACAGTTAGTCTCTCTCTCTCTTTCTCTCCACTTGACTAGCAACGTGCCAAAATAGTTAGAAATCGGGGTTACACCTTCTATTGATTACGACGCTGGATAGCCAGGTGATGGTGAGTCAAAGCGAAGTGCAGCCACCAGAAGGAGACAACAAAACAGCGCATCCCCTTGCTTCTGGTATGACCCGACTGGAATACCATGCCTTCCCTGTCATTCTCAAGTCAACGACTTACTCACCGTTTATAGGCTGGCTGTACCGAAACAACGTACGGTTAATTCATTGCTAAGAGGAATTTGCGGTTAAGGCAAAGACTGACCCTTCGGACTCGAAATCTCCAAAGTTCAATGCCAAGGTCTTTACCACTGTATGACCAGGCCCAAGAAAATAACGTCCCTTTTGACGGGAAACGTTGACGGGCCTCAAAAATGGTTACTGGGTCATTTAAGCGAAATACATGGCCAGAATGGTTAAGGTTGATAAAATATGACATCTGCAGCATATGGTAGAAGGAGAAGTTATGGCTTTAATTTACTGGTAGTATTTGCTATTTAACTGGAATTTCCACTGGTCAATTGTTCAAACGGCTATTATTAATCGGTTGTTATTAACCTCATTAATATTGATGTTAATCAGAGACTTCAAGTAGTGACATCGTACCAAATGTAACGTGCGGTACAGTAATTGGAAGAAAACTAGGGAAGCAGGGACACTGAAGCATGCCGAACAAATCAAACAAAGTTAGATTGGAAATGTTCAGGTTAGTAAACGTTACTGAAACGCTTAACAAGCTTGAAGTACCTCAGTACCTTAATAACACTGGAAGATAAAAAGACGGGCGGATATGAATGACTTGTAGAATTCTGCAGAAACTACCAAAGCTCTCGTAATCCATGCATAACTAAGCCAGAAAACCGTCTTTTGTGTTTAGATCGATTTGAGTTTCTGTACTCACCTCTGGTCATGAGTTGAGTATTAATCAACAAAACACAGTCGCCAAACGAAATGGTCGAGATTTTCTTCTAGGAGGACATTGCAAGTGTTATGAGTCTCGACCAAATTCGTAGCTCAGCGATCATGG